GTTAGTCATAACCACTCACTGTTCAATTTAAATAGCACCTGAGGCTTATCCTCATAATCCCAGGAGGAAGTACCTTTCCTAGACTATGCTTTCCCAGTACATTGTGTTAACTACCCTTCAGCATGCAGCAGTCTTATTTATGCTAGTTTGGGAAGTCCCTTGAGTAACTTACCACACCACTGATTATGCAAGTCTAGAATATTGCCTGACAGTTGTCTGTTGGACAAATATACACTGGATTTAAAAAAAATTGACATAAGATTTAATAACCCATTAGAGTATTTAATTTTGTTTTGAATTTTTAGAGCATTGTCTTATTAGGGAAACTTCCTAGGATTCCCTCTGTGCGAAGAAGTTTCCTACCTACAGTGGGTTAGGAAAGCTCACAATCAATTAAAGACAATTTTGAGTCCCAGTGAACATGGTTAACCTTATACACAGAAAATACTACCCAGTTATGTGCTAAATCATCAAATTTTCACTAGTCATTTCACGGCCACCGTGGGATTTGAGGTATATAGGAATAGTGATACTGATATTTGGGTATGATCAAATAAGATGTAGTGGTTTGCTAATTACAGCATTTTTAAAATAGTTATTGAAAAACAATAGCATATAAAACTGGGGAGGGGTGTTTTTTGGTGTGCATTTTTTTTTCTTTTTTTAAATTTATATATGACAGTGGAATGCATTACAATTCTTATTACACATAGAGCACAATTTTTCATATCTCTGGTTGTATACAAAGTATATTCACACCAATTTGTGTCCTTATACATGTACTTTGGTGTGCATACTAATGACAGAGAAAAGCAGAGTTTCAAGTACCTATGCAGATATACTGAGTAGACCTACTCAGGATAGAAAAAGTACTTTGAATTATTCAACAACATAATTCTCTAAGAGGATACTGAGAAAGATCATGCTCACTTTAAAAATATTGCTTTTTAAATGTTAACAGTTCAGCTGGGCACAATGGTGCATGCCTATAATCCTAGTGACTTGGGAGGTTTAAGCAGGAGCATCACAGGTTCAAGGTCAGACTCAGCCATTTAGTGAGACCCTCACAAATTTTTGAGACCATCTTAAAAGGGGTGAAGGGTGCTGTGGATGTAGGTAGGTGGTAAAGTGCCTTTGGGTTCAAAACCCAGTTTGGGGGAGGGGGAGAAATTTAACGGTTCACCAGTTGCTCTTATAACATTTTGCTTTTGTCCTTATAACCAGTATCTGAGATGAAATAAATTGCAATATTTTCCATTTACCCATTAGTGGGAAAAAAGTCTCATAGACTTCAGCTTCTATAGTAATTGATGGCAGTGGAACATCAACTTGATTGGAGTAATTTTCTTTCCAAATTTGGTATATTTAGCCAGACAGAAATCACTGGAAATGTTCAGGAATTTTACTTCAGTGACTTTGGAAGACTGACAGGGATTTTGGTCACTAAATTTTCAGATCAAATCAGTGTTAAATAAACTAAACAATATCCTAAATTTACCAGTGCTTGCCACTTCATTCCAGATCAATATAGTCCCTCAAAGGAGAGTTCTGAACTATTTGTAATATACACATCCCAACGTAGCATCAGCTGTTTTTTGAATGGACAGTACATGGGCTCATGCTGATCTTCTGAAAACCTCATAGCAGAATTCCAAAGAAACTCGTCTGGCTTACAATATTGAAGAGCTAAATTGTATATTGTTTTGGATTATAAAAGAACAACTAAATCTTTAGTCCACATTCTTCTCTGTGCAGTCCCAGTGAGATTTTGTAGGGCTCAAGAGATTTACTGGTGCTCAGAGAGAAAACACCTCAGCCAATAGCCTCCATCCAAAAGATAATGCACATGTGGTTTTTGCAGTTTGACTTCAGGATTCCTCGTGATCTGGCTACTCCTGAACATGAGTCTTTGCATCTCCAAAAAATTTCAGGTCTTAATTCGGGGTCACCCCAGGGATCAGTGATTCTCAGCCATCACTGAGAATGCTTCTGTTTAACTCTGCAGCAGATGTGCTTACCTCGTCATCATTAGAAGTGTTAAAAGTTGCTACATTCCCTGAATGGGGAGAAATAATCTTCTGCCAGGTTTGCCAGTGGCTATATCATTGTTGGCGGCTCATGGAGAAATGCAGTAGTGCTTTTTCTCAGATTTTGACACTGGATCCATGTCTTTGAGAAAATTAATTCACACTGGCCAGAAGTCATTAGGAAATACACTGTAACATAAGTACCTGATTTAAGAAGAACTGAGATGGCTTCTAATAACATCCCACAATGAAAATTAACACCCAAAAAGAGATGTTTAAATTATAGACTACTTCATGGGAATTGTATGATGAAACATACTTAGAATAAGAACACACAGGGAAAAGTATATAATAACTTTAAGAAGGTTTTTTTTTTTTTTTTTAGGTGTTGGGGGATTGAACCTAGGGCCTCATGCATGCTAGGCAGGCAAATGCTCTACTATTGAGCCATTTCCCTAACCCCAAACTTATAGTTTTAAAAAGTTACTAAGAATCAAGCTCTGTGCATCTACACATTTTGAATGTAAGTTGGTAACAATTTCACAAAGTTGCAGTAATACTAGTTATTAAAAGTTTCTTTTTCTTTCTTTTTTTTGGTGGAGGACATCTTGCTGTATTGCCCAGGCTGGCCCTGAACTCCTGGGTTCCTGATCCTTCTGCTTCAGTCTGCAGAGTATTTGGGACTACAGGCATGTGCCACAACTTGTGGATTACTTTTTTTTTTTTTTTGGTACTGGGAACTAAATCCAGGGGAGTTTATCATTGAGCTACATCCCAGCCCTTTTTATTTTGAGACAAAGTCTTGCTAAATTGTGGAGGGTGTCCTCAAACTTTTGATCCTCCTGCCTCAAACTCCTAAGTAGCTGGGATTATAGTTGTGCACCATTGTACCCACTAGTTTTAAGTACTAGAACAGATGTTTAGGAATTTTATATTCTGCTCAGAGTTCTCCAAATTTTGCTTTAAATTCAGCACAGAAAAATGTTGGTGTGTTGCTGTTTTTACTTTTTAACAGTATCAGAACAGCTTATAAGTCAGATCATTTAGTTTGGGAGATTTGTTAAAATACAACAGTTTAAAAATTCTGAACATCTTTTCAATATCATCTTGTTTTCCCAGTGTCTTAATTTTGTGACTTTTTAATCTGTGGCAGTATTAAATATACCAGTTTAAGGCTATGTTCATGGTTAAGAAGTCATCCATTTTACTTGAATCACAGGTTTTGTGTGTGTGATCCTACTCAGGGTTCTACACATGCTATATGTACATGCTGTACCACTGAGCTGCATCCTCAGCTTTATACCACAGCTGTCTATATTCAAATAATATAGCAAAAGATATTCCACATGTAACTTGGAAACCTATAGTACTGTCATAATTCTATCTTTTTTTTTTTTTTGGTGTGTGTGTGTGTGTGTGACAGGGTTGTGCTATGTTGCCCAGGCTGATTGCAAACTCCTGGGTTCAAACAGTCTTCTACTTCAGCCTCCCAAGTAGCTGAGAAAATGGGTACGTACCACTGCCACATCTGATTCTAAATTCAGTAAACTTCCAAATCAGAAAAGACTGTTTATCACAAATTTCTCATGATTAAACTATAGACCAAAGTCAACAATTTAAAAAGTGGAATAGGGATATAAAATGGTACACACTCTGTTAAGGTCACTGTTGATTCCTTCAGCATTAGTGTATGTGGCCACCAGGAGCCAAAGAGAACAGAACATGAATTTACCCACAATAAAGACAGGTTATCAGTATAAATGACAGTTCCGAGCCAGGGAAACTGTGGTTGCCATTAGGGAAGGTGAGAAAATGTGACTGATTTTTTGAGGTTGCTCTTCTTTTGCAACCCCAGCTGTCTAAAAATGGAAACTGAAGGGAATCAAACATAATGCACCATCTACCAATTACCTTGGTTTCCTTTTATTATTATTAGTTGTTGTCGCCATGTACACAGCCAAAGTACACTGCCCATTGGAGCAACTAGTAAGAGGTGGAATTTTACCCTGCTCCAGCCCCACCGTTTTCTTCTGTAGTGCTGGGGACTGAACCTAGGGCTTTACACACGCTATGCACATGTTCCATCACTGAGCTACACCACTAGTTTCAAGGTGTGGCTTTGAGCTAAGATGTATGATCACTATATTTTGTACTAAATAAGAGAAATGATTTCAAGCTCCACAAAATGAACATTCGACCAATGTAAAGAAATTATACGTAGAAAAATAAGAAGTTTTCAGACCTGCCTCACCAAACTGACATACCGATAATGGGAGATATTACACATAACACACAAAAGTAAGTCATTTTTAAAGACAATCAAATCTCCTTTTTCTTCCCTCTCAAATCTTCTTATTCAAAGTTTGGGACTTACCATGTGAATTTGTGAACACTTATTTACAAATCCATAAGTTATACTTTTCACTAACATAAGTGTTCTGTTTTGGAGACAATAAGAGAATACTCTGGAGAAAGAAAACCAAAGGCCATTTTGAAAAATAGTGTCATATTCATCTCAATTTCCTCTGTGCTGTTACATGTAGTCAGGTCATTTTAGAATGAAGTAGACAGAATTCTGCGTAGACCCTGCCACTGACAATGGGGATGATACATATGAAGAATATAGAAAAGAGTTCAAAGAACTCTACTTAATTTTATATATTAGTTGTAGATGGACACAATACCTTTATTTTATTTATTTTTATGTGGTGCTGAGGATCAAACCCAGCACCTCGCACGTGCTAGGCAAGCACTCTACGCTGAGCCATAACCCCAGCCCCTTTACCTAAATTTTTAAAGTTCCAAATGCCATGCCTAACTTCAGGGAGCAAACTAATTTTAAACTTAACCTGGCTTCATCTCTCTACCAGTTACTACTATACTAACCTTTAATTTTTAGTACTACTTCTACTGAAAGACTATTAAGCCAAAGAGTTTTAAATATTATAAACTATTAAAAACAACAAGGAAGAGTTTAAGGAAAGAATATATTTGGACAACATAAACAAACAAAAAAGGAATTACATAAGAAAAAATAATGTAACAATTTTTGTAAGTACCTAACATGAGCATGCGCTTAACATCTAAAACAAAAGGTAACATTGGTATATTGGTACTATATATATATATATATATCTGACAAGTGTGCATTAAAGAAATCTCTAATATAAAACATTTAAAACGTGGAGAATACTTGATTTCAAAATACAGAAAATAAATGTTAAGATAGGCACACCCACAATTCTTACAAAAACATGCTTGCAAAGATAAAATTCATCTGAGCACTCATTTCTCAGATATACAAAAGCTATGAAATCATTAATCAATGGATATTGCCTCCTGCTTTTGCACTAAGTTTCAACACTGATTGGTATGAATTCTGAATACACAATTACTGTTTTTCATCTTTCTGCCATGTTCTATATAGAATGCATCTACCTCAAATGAGTAGAACTTAAAACATTAACATTATTTGTATCACAGTCACTTCCTTATGTTATTTTTTTAAAAGGCACTATATTTAAAAAATAATATTACAACAAATAGTGCTTTGGAAGACCTGAAATTCCAAATCAATGTGTTCCATCAATCATAAGTAGATTTAAGAAGCCGTAACTTAAAAAAAATATAAAAAGTTGATGGATTTAAAGATTATAAAATTGGTTTATTGTAAAAGCAATTCAAGAATAACCAGTTAAAACCTTATCCCCATACTACCCAATACAACCAAAAAGCATTAAACACTTTTACATTAGGAACAAGAACATAAAACAAGAAAGACCACATCAAAGCTATGATTCAAACTCAAAAAGAGAAAGAACTCTTAAATCTCTTCCAGGTCACTACAACGGTATGATAAGATCAAAGCACTATGTCAGGTACACAGCACTGCTACAACACTGAGGTATAACTGGGCAAATTAAATCTGGGAGGACCCGAAGACTATGTATTTTTGCTTTGTGGGTGTTCTTAAGTGATTGAAATTTTAGGAACAACTGCCTTTAATGATAGCAAGATGCAAAATAAGTCTTTATTGAAGAGAAAGTTTATAAAGTTTTCTATCAAGGTCCCAGTACTCTTCACAACCCACTCCCACCTTCCCACCCTCCCCCTAAGCTAAAGCTACTCTGCTGATATATAAGATATGATTTTAATTTGTGACTTACTGGCAAATTATAGGCACTAAGTAGCTCTGATCTGCACATTAAAAACAACATGCTATCTCATCCAAATGCTCAATTATGCATTCTAGGTAGAATTTCATTATTGTTCTAAAACTCAATGCATTTGCACACTGGCCATCCCCACCCCAACTTGATTCAACACTGAATCTTTCTGCTGTTTTTAAGATAAAAGCCGAGTCAAATTATTATGAACAACAACCCATGAATCATTATATATAATACAGTGATTGCATTTTTCTTGAGCACTGAAAAGTACTTAAAATAAAACTTCTTACTTCCACTTTTGCACTCCTCCAAATTGAAGGGTCAAAATACTTGGATTTTGTAATTGGAAAAAGGAAAAAAAAAAAAAAATCTACCTTCCGGAGCTGAAGCTTTTTCATAGTAGCTGAACCCAGGAAAACAGATTCTGTCTGTTATAAACCCTTGAAAATAAGGGCTTATGCTAGAAGCACTGAAAGACCCTTAAATCACAGAGATACTAGCTGGTACCACTCTAATTCATAACCACTACTTTATAGCTTATATATTGAAGAGTAAATTCATGCTCACTTTGTTCATTAAAAAATAGTCTTTGGAAACCATTATTACTCCTGTAGACACATACTCTAGTTATATCTCTTCCTGTAAAAATAAAGGTATAATCATGATTATCTCTACTACTTTGCTAAATTCAACAACCAATATACATTTATTAATCTGATCACTTTACCAGCTAACTCATGACCTTATATTAGTCTACATACTACCTAGAGGTTTAATTTTCAGCATGTGAAAGTAGGAGCAAGTTTTGTTAAGAACAATCCTGTAGGGAATGAGGATGTAGCTCAAGCACTTGCCTAGCACAAGCAAGGCCTCAGATTCAAGCCCCAGCACTTGGGGTGGGGTGGGTGGAGGTGTGGCTTCGGGAGGGTTGTCTACTCTGTTTACAAGAACAATTTTATAGAAAATATTTTAATCTAGTCTTCAATGTACTCATTATAAATGAGAACTGAAGTACCAGAGTTTACTTCCAAAACTAAGGCGAGTGTAAATTTCCAAAGCTGAAGGAAGGTGAGTTGCTGTAAAGCTCACTTCTGTCACGTACATCATAAACCTACTCAGTGATTTCTAAGACTCAAACTTGTACAAGGGAGAAAATAAAACCATTTCTAGTCTGCTCCTTTCCAATTCATCAGGTATTTATCATGTGCCCAGAGAGCAAAGAGTATTCCTTTAGGCACTATCCTTAGTAATAGCCCTTTTAGAAGACAAAACTATCTCAAACATCTGCAGATTGTCCCAACCAGATTAAAACTGCTTGTGAGATATGCACTACTAGTCATGTATTATAAATGTATACATTCAAAGCTACCGTTTTAAAAATAAATTGGAAAGTAGGGAAACTTAAAAAAAAAAAAAAAGTACATTCTGCTATCACTCTATTATAAACACTGTGTATATGTGTGTATGTGTGTGTGTGTGTTTAGAGAGCAGATAATCAAGATTTAAATAAGATGGCAAAAAACTCAGGAAATGTAAATTTTATCAAAAGAACTACAATAAATGTCCCAAACTACAACTATAAACAGATTAAACAGATTTACTAATAGAGTAATTTGCCTAAGTTTCAACAAAACCAACCAACCAACACAAACAAAAAAAACCAAAAAAAAAAAAAAAAAACAAAAAACACACAAACAAAAAAAACCCACCAGAAAACCCAAAACATCCACAAAAATATCCACCCAAACCTATACTAGAGTATGTGGCAATAATTAATATATTTCTATGGAAATTGTCTCATGCCTTAAGCTCCTAAAATAAAATCAAGGTCACTATGTGACTAATGATAGCACTAGGAGGAAAAAACAAAACACTGAAAATAAGTCTTCAGCCTTGGTTTCAGCTACCTCTTCAAATTAGCATTAAGTACTTAATATCAGATACAACATTTTTGGCTTGTTAGACCAGTAAGACATGTTTTTCCATTGGCCAAATGCAGCTGAAGAAGCAACTGTGAACAAACTAAACGCTGTGACATGAAGCATCTGATTTCCAAGTCTGAATCAAATATCTAACTGGGCAAAAGGAATGACATCCATCATCCAAACAGGCTCACTTCCCCCAGCCCCCCAAATAAACAGTAGTTATAATAGCAAAGAATTTTTTTGTTGTTTTGGGGTTTTGTTTTTTTTTTTTTTGATTCTTTAGGGCCAACTGTGAAAGAGGTCAGCAATATATTAACAGCAGCAATGGACAAGGAAGAGCAAAATAGTGGATGAAAGAATCTTGCTGGACGTTTGTTTGTTCATATATATATATATATATATATATATATATATATATATATATATATACATATATATATATATTTTTTTGTTTGTTTGTTTGTTTTTTTGTTATTAGCCAGAAAACTGCAGCTGGCTTATTTGGAAATTTCAGGCACACGTCTCATCTCCTTAGATCCTTCACAGATTTAGAATTCAGTCTACCTGAGGGCTTTATAGCCAGGTAAGAAAGCTTTCTTTATCTAGCTTGGTGGCAGCCAAAACAGATTCCATGTCATTAAGGATGTCAGAACTCAGAGCTTCCTGAAGACTGGGCATCAACTCCTCTCCTTCTATGTTCATTCCATCTCCTTCCAGTGTTCCAAGGTCCACATTTGTCCCAGGAATGGCTTCAAGGTAGTCTGGGAAACGGTTCTGCTGTGAGGGCAGGGTGCTTTGGTTGATAGTATCACCTAGTTGTATCAAAGGGAGAGACAGATCCTTTTAGAAAAGCTAACATCAAAGCTGTATCTTATGAGTGTACAGAAATGCATAGTAATGGAAAAGCATTCCTGACTGGCCTGAATTTATTCTAAAAGACACCACAGAGATAAAAAAATTACAATGCCAAGTTTATCTCTGTTTCAGCATTTGTTCAGATATCCAATGTATAGTATAGCTTGAATGCTTACCACTAAGGACTGAGCACAGAAAGGGATGAAAAAGCAAAAATCCCTTGAAAAATTTTATGTGGCAAAGGAAGAAAGAAGAAGTACACCACATGACAGTATAGCTGCCTATTGTTTTCCAGATATGTACCACCATAATAAGATTAAATATAAAATGAATGGTATAGACCTGCCTTTCTCTTACATATATTTTTCTTTTAAAAGAGATTTTTAAAAAAATATTTTCAGTTGTAGATGGACACGATACCTTTATTTATTTATTTTTTTATGTGGTGCTAAGGCTTGAACCCAGTGCCTCACATGTGCTAGGCAAGCATTCTACCACTGAGGTACAACTCCAGCACTCTCTTACATATGAGGAACATAAAATCAAAGGACTACATGAGTACTCTACTCCACATTCATAAAAACAAAACAAGCTTCCCAAAAGTCTTTGCATAAATAAATTTTTAGTCTAGCTTCTAGGATTCCCAAACTTAACCTGGTCACTGAACCTTTTTTTTTTTTTTTTACATAGACATATTAACATTCCCTCAGAGTTTAAACAATATATACTTTTGAAAAAACTAACATAATCCATTAAGTGCTATAGGGGTCTAAAGAAGAAAAAAATGATAAAAGGAGGAAGGATAGTTCATGAATTGGGTTTGAAATGGCTACTAAGTACGGCTTAAGATCTAGGTAAGCAAAGAGAAAGGGGTAGTGTGGATTCTAGAAAGTATCATAGTCATGAGCTAGATAAGTAAGCATCAGCACAAAAGACTTGCCAAACACTTTTAGAGAAGTTGGTAACTAAAGAGTTAGCTAGCTGAGGAGCTGCTTTATATCTCTTCTCTGCAAATTCCTATACTCTACAGTTGTCAAATCCAGGACAATGGTCACTAGGTAAGCTATGGGAGAAACAGTTCCTTAACTATCTCTGTGAAGCAGCAATTTCTTAACTTCTGAAAGACCTCTACTAACTATTCTAACCCTAAGTAGATAGGCTCCAATACCAAGTTTTTTCCACCCAGTTTCCTGGTCCCATTACACCTATGTTGAATCAAAAACCCCAGAAAAAAAGAAAGAAGCAAACAATGAACTGCATATAGAAAACTCTCACCAAAATTAAAAACACAAATCTATAATAGGAGACACTTCCAATAGGGTCCTCAATTACCTTGCCAATAGACATGTTAAAATAAATCATGTTATCAGTTTTATTCAAATGGAGCTAAGATATCCATTTCATGACATTTAAATATCAGAAACATACTTGAAATCATAATTCATCTCATAGGAATAAAAAAAGGCAGGCTCAAATTGAAGTTTAAAGGATTTTAAATGGTTTTCCTCTGAATACTCTTTGCTCACAATAGCTTATTAGATCTGGTGATAATATGATTGATTATCTGTGACTAACAGATTTTTTTTTTTTTTTTTGGTACTGGAGATTGAATTCAGGGGCACTGAGCCTCATCTCCAGCCCATTTTTGTATTTTATTTGGAGACAGGGTCTCACTGAGTTGCTTATCACCTTGCTAAGTTGCCGAGGCTGGCTTTGAACTAGAGATCCTCCTGCCTCAGCCTCCCCAGCTGCTGGGATTAAAGGCATGCACCACCAGGCCAGTCAGATTTCTCAGAGGAATGCAGAATACTAACCTGTATCCATTTCATCAACACTGTTCAGGAAGTCATCCGGGGTTCGAGGGACACTGTAGCTGCTCATGCTTAGTCCACTGTCTGTACTCTCATCTCGAGAGTGATAGGTGCCACTACAAAAAAATGATAGTTGAAGACTGATGCAAATTTTTTTTATACAAAGCAAAAACAAACAAACAACAACAACAAAAAAGTCAAAATAATTCTCAAAGATTAGTGAAAATTCTTGACCTGAAATACATGAAACAAGAATCCCCCTTCATGGGCATACATAACCCTTGTCCTATAAACTTGTAATAAACAAGTTAATCCTAATTGAAGCTGGCAGCTCTAAAGGACCAGATCTTTCCTAAGGAACTGACTATGGTGGCAATGAAAGAAAAAAACAACAACAACAAAAAAAAACAGACCTAGTTTTGCTAGAGTTAGAAAATTCTCTGCACAGGTATTCTGTCTGGACACCACCTGAATAGAGGAGATATAAAGTCGGGCGGTAGGGACACACACTCCACACAGCTCAATGGTTCCAAGGTTTCAATTATCCATGTGGTAGTAGCAAAGGCAGAGAGGTCAAAACCCAAATACCAAGTGGATGGGTGAGACAGGCCTGCACTAGACTCATGTTAACTTCTTGCTCTTGTGCAGAGAACTTAAACCAAGAAAAATGAACCCAAAATAAAATATCAGAATTTCTTTTTGAACTGGGCCAAAATATATGAGTCACTGCTGATAAGAAAAGAATTCCTCCTTGCTTCTGCTCAGAGGAGGGAAAAACTCAAATACCTTAGCATAAGGCCTTATAGCTCCAATTGTAAGAAACAACAAAAGAAAACAGTACAAGACACATCCCTTGAGGAAAAACATGAGCCAAGTCAGATTTTTTACTTTAGGCTAAATGAAAAGTTTCCCAGATTTACATACAGAAATTGCAAAAATCCTCAGAATATTACTTCATAAATAAAATATTTTTTCCTAAGCTAGTAGCACAAAGACATCAACTGGTATTGACTGTAAAACTGTGAGTCCCTAATACTAGAAAATCATAGGCAATTGCTATTAATGTTTCTCAACATAAATGTGTGCTTTAAATTTCCCCACATCTTGACATTTAAGCAACTGTTTTAAAAACAAAAAAGCAACTAAACTTAAAACACACACATACACCCCAACCAGGCTTACACTGGGCTCAATGCTTCTGCCAGATTTTGGCAAGATTCAGAGCCTCACACCAATCTAAGAAAATACAAATTTGTCTCTAAGACTATTTGTAGACACTACAGCCATATATGAAAAGACCTCAGGATGTGGTTTGTTTTTATTTTGAATGCCCTGATCTGGGACAAGGGCCTCATCAATGTTACAGTCCATTACAAAACAGATGAATTTACAAAGTTAAACATTCTAAACCACAGGGGAGTACATGGGTATTCCCTAGAAGACTTTCCTCCTAGGAACAGCTCTCTGCACAATCCCACCATCTGCAGGTCCCATTCAATAAATGTTCACTGAACATTTGCTATTATACCACAAGCATTAGATTAGGCTCTGAGGATAGAAGTTAACAACAATAAATTACAAATATTGCCAATTTCCCGTGAAGTGCTAGGTATCAAACCCTGGGCTTTGGCATGCCAAATGATACATTTTTTTTTCTTTTTCTTTTTGTACTAGGGATTGAACACAGGGATGCTTAATCACATCCCTAGCCCTCTTCAATTTTATTTTGAGTCAGGGTCTTGCCAAGTTGCTTAGGGTCTCATGAAGTTGCTAAGGCTCACTTTGAACTTGTTGAATTTGTTGAATTTGAATTTGCTCTCACAGAAAGGCACTTACATGTTCCTTCATGATTCTACTCCCACCTTGGGCTCCCAAGTTGCTGGGATTACAGGTGTGCACCACCATTCTCAGCCCAAGTGATGCTTTTTTAAAAGCTCACAAATGCATCAAGAGAGGTGAACAAATACACTAATGAATTAAGGGCTACATGAACTATGTAAGTAAGGTTCTTTCAGAACAAACAGAGAAGTGAGCTCGAAAATTTGTAAAAGGGAAAAGTTTCATGGAGGGGGATACCTGAACTTGCTTCAAAGGATCTTAGAACAAGAGGGAGATAAGGGGATACTATACACCACTAGTCGATTCCATGGCAAGTGAGGGGAATCAAATTGTTTAGAGCTTAAGGAACAAGCATAAACCAACTAGTAAGCAACAGAGAAACTTCAGAAGGCGAAGTTTCAAGAAAAAACACCACAGATGTGTACTTCAGAAACTAGGGCATACTACAGAGAATGAATATATGATTCTGATCTTAGATTAATCACATCAACTATCTGTCACTCTGTGATCTTACCAGGAAGAGAATCTCAAATGGCAGCTCAACTCTCATCAAGTTTTAACAATTTTCACCAATGATTGCCAGAGAGATATGCAGCCTGTCCATTTCCCTCCACCCCCTTTCACTACTGGGGACTAACCTCATAACTAGGTAAGTACTCTCTCACTGAGTTATCCCTAGTCCTTTTCCTGCCTAGGTTTCCCGCATAGCTCAGATTTTAGCCATGCGCCACCATGGATGACTCCATTATTAAAAAAAAAAAAAAAAAGTTTAATTTTATCCCTGAACCAAAGGTTGCTGGTAAAACTGGTACTGTTTTATCAATAATACTGATCTGAGATTTTCCTTGTGGAAGAAAAAAAGAAGTTTTGTGCCTATGACTATTCCTCATTAGCCTCAGTTTAAGTTCAAATATGTAAACTTGTATAAAATACAAGTTGTACTTAAAATGTTTTAGCCTCTAAAATCAAAGCTCCTGGGTTGGGGATGTAGCTTAGTAGTAGAGCACTTGCCTAGCATGTGCAAGGCTCTGGGTTCAATCCTCAGCACTGCAAAGCAAAATAAATCAAACCTAACCAGGTCATAGTACAATCTTAAGACAGACAGAACAATGGGAAATTCCATTGTTCTAAATATTTTTAGAATAAAATTTTTTTCCTACAATCATGAAGTTTTTAATTCAACTGGTGAGAAATTAAGAGGTAGCATAATAGCTTTCCTAAATCAATATATCTTTAAATATTTTTTTAAAGTATGTTACTTAAAACTGGTTAGGAGGTTTTAAAAAAACAACCCACAAGGTATTTGAACTTTTTAAAAATAAAATTCTAAAGCTATTTTATAACCTAAACAAATTTTAGTCAAGTATCAATTTTAAATGCCTTTTGAGGTTAAAAAAAAAAAAATTACAATCTGCCTGAAACTTAAGAATTATGGTAAGTCACTAAGAAGCATCCTTCAAGCTCTGTTATTTCAAATACAGTCACCAATCCTATTGCATTTCTTTTTGGTGGTGGGGTACCAGGGATTGAACCCAGAGGTGCTTAACCACTGACCCACATCCATAGCCCTTTTTTATACTTTCTTTAGAGATAGGGTCTTGCTAAGTTCTTAGGGCCTTGCTAAATTGTTGAGGTTGGCTTTGAACCTGTGATCCTCCTGCTTTAGCCTCCCAAGCCACTGGGATTATAAGCATGTACCATTGCACCCCACATTCCCAGCCCTTTTTATTTTTTATTTTGAGACAAGGTCTCACTAAGTTGCTCAGGCTGGTCTCAAACTTGTAATCCTCAGCCTTTAAATTGTTGGAATTACAGGTGTGCACAACACACCCAGCTTAATGAATTTTTTCTTTCTTTTTAAAGAGTCACAACCTTATACTTTATCTCCTTGAAGTACACAGACTTTTAAGAACATGAGGCATTTACAATGCTTTGGGATGGAGCCACTCAGGTTGCACAGTTGTGTGGAAAATTCCTGCCAATGATTCTTTCAATGTAACCCTAAGTAAGTTTAAGATGCAGTTCATTTGCTCTCACAGAAAGGCACTTACATGTTCCTTCATGATTCTATTAATTTTAAGTGACTGTTAGTCAACAGTATAGGTAGAAGCAAACACATTGTAATTGAATAAGTATCCCTTCCACAAGTCTGAACAGCTTACTTCCTCTTAAAAGAGACATGTTTTATCCTCAATTTTTATTGTACTTACCATGCATGGAGATTTATTTACAGCTATGGTTTTTGGCTTGCATGTATGTTCAAAACAGACCACTCTAAGTACTAGGCAGAATAAATTTAAACCTATCTTTTTCAGATATTGGCTATTAGCACTCTTACCAACCTGTTAAGAAAGGGATCTGAGCTATTGGTCGTCATTGTTCTCAATTCCTGAGACATCCCAGGAGAAGACACCGGATTTTGAGTTCCACCATCCTGCTCCAGTGTTGGTAATTGGCTACGAAGAGCTAATTCCTTAAACAAAAACACAAGTATAAAGATAATTAATTTACCAATTAACAAAAGTATTGTTAGATTTAAAAGAAATTAAATTCACATTAGAATACCTGGGTACATATAAAGTATTTATTTTAAATTGATATGTTACCTAGTAAGAACAACCAAATTCTTCTTTACACTTCAAGTGATTGCAAATTATATAAATTGAAAGTTTATCTAGTAATATTAACACCAAAGCACAGTTTGCTAATTAGTTTCATTTTGCAATTTTCCTTACTCTAGCTGATAACTCTCAAATCCTCCCTTTTGGGACAGAATTATAAGTCTGGTCTTTAAAAAATTAATTCTTAAGTGCTCATGTGTGTTTTTTTGTGTGTGTGTGTTTGGGACCAGCAATAAAAATAAACTAGAAAGAACATTTGATAATATAAAGACAGTAATCTTCCCCTTCACCCCACCTCCACCACTGTTATCACATGTCTCCTTTAACTTCAGATTTTTCTATCTTGAACTAGGTAGTGTATGTTCTATCCTCTAGCAGGGACAGAGGAAGGGAAAAGAAAAGACATAAGGAATTAAAACACGAACCCAAAGTTTCTCTACCAGAACCATGATATTTAAAATTTCTTTAGGAATATCCAACAATTTTGCTCAGCAGAATTTTACCTGAAAATCTGAGCAAATGCTATTGGCTACTACACTAATGGTTCCCCAAGGCCCACCTCAACAGGCTTCCAGACATCCTGGGCTTCAGTTATGTATGGCCCAGGCTAGTTCATCTCACTCTGAAGGACTCCTTCCCTCTTCATTAGAATCCTTGACCTTTTTCTCTCCTTTCTATTCATTCATTGTTCTTTATTCTCATAAATATGGTTTTATTTATTTTTCTTAAATACAAAGCACCCTGCTCTTCTCCACCCAGCAGCTTTCAGAGCCAAGTCTGCTCCCTGCAAAAAACCCCATCGCCCCCAGGCACCATCATCCCCACATTCCCCAAAAGGTTAGGAAGTGTGGAAATAACCTCCTAGCTCTTCACTGTCCCTTATAGATGATGATTTCTCCCATGTAAAACCCACTTTTTGTTCAGATTTATGCCTTCTGGATATACCATCCTTTAAACATGGGTTTCTTAACCAGAAGACTTTGAAAGAAGTCTGAGGTTTGTGACCCTGGTTGAGGAAAAAAATGTACACCTTAATTTTTGTTAGATTCTAACTTAAAATTTGTGTTTTCTTCATTTATGAATATAGGAAATACAACAGTAGTCATGGTACTTCTGATGTATCATTAATATAAGACAAAGATATTTTCATAATACATTGTAATTGCTACAAACATCTTAAAATAACATTTAGACTTATTACTATTTCAATGCTACAGTAGGGGTAAGACATATTTCTAAATCTTGATAATTTATACATCAAAAAGAATTGTGTGTTGCCAGGAGACACACCTGTAATCCCAGCAACTTGGGAGGCAGAGGCAAGACGATTCCACGTTCAAGGCCAGCATAGGCAACTAAATAAGTCTCCATCTCAAAAAATAAAAAGGGCTGGGAGGTAGCTCAGTGGTAGAGCACCCTTAGATTCTATTCTCAATATTACAAGAAAATTTTATATCACAGTTTTTTATTTAATATTTTGATAACTATCAATGAAATTCCCTTTTAAAAAATAATCCTGTAGATTATCATCCTTCCTATATACTTAAAAAAGCCCAATGTTCTGAGAATGGATCCATGGGTTCAGCTGAATGCCAAAGTATCATGTACTCTTTGACAAGGCTAACTGCTTCTTGTACACAATTTACTGAACTCAAGCTATTCTATCTTAGGTATAATTTCAAAGGCTGGCTCAAGGACTCTTGCCAAGTAGACCCCATGATTCTTAACATGCTTCAAGTTTACCTTCTAGAATCCAATGACCTTCATTTCTACCTACCTCAATTACCCACGTGTATAGCTGCCAAGATCTTGTTTTTGAAATCAAGCTATCCCTAAAATCCCAATCCTTTGGAATAAGGATCTGTGTTTCACTTCTTCCCATTACATCTACCATCCTGGAACTGTCGATAACCACATGCAAAACTCATGATAACCCATTGTTGAAAATGCATTGATGCTGACTGCTTCACTATTGTATTTCAAGCATAAAACTCCCTCAGTAACACCCTGGAACTGGCTTAGAAATTTCTCTCCTAGAAAACTATGTACACTTTTCCTACTTTCTGACCATATTTTTCTTCCTATTCAGTTTCCTCCTCTACTCTACCAGCAATCCAGACTCAGAGACTCTAGAACCTTCTCTTCTTACTATCCCAGTCTGTTGGCTCTCTTCTGGTTTCGTAAGTTTTTCTCCTCTATGAGCTTGAACTCATGCCTGATCATGTGAGATATACACAGCACTTTTCAGATTCCTGATGTACAGATAATTTTACCTCAGTCCAGCAAATCCCAACCTGAGTCAATGCTAAAATGTGCTTGTTTAGTTTTTATACTGAGATTCCTGAGAAATGCTACAGGGAAAAAAATCATACAACTATGCAGAATGGAATAATGACAAATTAATGGTCTTTGGCCTTGGCTCTTAGTACCATTTACTGATTTTGGAGGGGTGAGATAGTCCTTGCTCAGTTCTTTCTCATATTCTCATGATCAAATATTCTAACATGGCATAATGTCTTAAGCCCCTAATGGGTCAAGTCTATTTCCATCTCTTTCTAATTTAAACAACACTGAGATTGTGAGGTCCAATCTGGGATCTTCTGACTGCTCCTGCCATCTCTTCCTGCTCCCCTCAAAGGTATCTTCATTTGCACCATCTTTATAATCTTTCTTCCACTTTCAGAAAATCAGTTTATTGAAGACTAACCCACTCTCAGTGCTTCTAGAGATCCCTTCTATTTCTTTTCTTTGTATCCTCTATCTTTTACCCCTCCTATTCTCATCTTCCAAAGTGAAAAGTAACTTTATAACAATGATAGTAAAGCAGAGGTTCAGCACACTTTGTAATCCTAGCTACTGAGGCTGAGGTGATCCTAGCTACTGAGGCTGAGGTGAAAGGATTGTCAAGGCCAATCTCAGAATCAAAACAACCCCAAATGATAGTACACTCTTACAGACCTATAAGAAGACAGTTTCTCAGTATCACATCTTTCTACATACTGTTCTTGCATAGAACACTTTTCTTTCTTCCCTTTTATATAAAACCTTATAGGGATACCAAGTTCTCTAGGTAACTCCCCAAGATGATTCCATCTCCATTAAGATTGGACTGAACACAAAGATGCCAAGTCTTTAACATCAGGAGCATATGTAGTACATCTATAGCACTTCTTATGATATGGAATTTCCTCTATGACCCCTAAAGGTAAGATGAATCGCTTTACTAGAGTATAAGAGGCTGATGCATAGGGTTCTAGGATGAAGCTAAGGGTCTTTAAAAATATGTAAGCATTGAGGGGATCTTGAAGATCATTTGCTTTTTAAAAATTTTTTTTTGTGGTGCTAGTGATTGAACCCAGGGCCTTGTACATACTCGGCAAAAGATCTGCCATGGGTGAAGCTATATCCACAGTTCTTTATTTTGCATTTTATGTTTGTTTGCCTAGTTTTGAACTTCTTTCATCACAAAGCAAGTACATGACACTACACTGTAAATTATTATTGAAAAAACTGAATTGGCTATGATTTTCATAACTTTTTATTTTAGCTTTTCATAAAGTTCTCATTTTTCAAGATTATTTTATGAGGTTAAAACTAATAGTTATGTGTGGATTAGACCATCCATGGTTTTGCTGCTTTGAATTTTGCCACTATGCTTGTTCAAAGCTAATGTTTACTTTTTGCTTCATTTAACAACTGAATTTCTACTGTCAGCAGGCACCACAGAACCAACTCTCCCAATCTAAATTAAGAAGGCAAATAATGCCAAGCTACCTAAAGAGATAATCAGACTCCAGAAGAAATATGGAAATATCTTCTCAATCAAACCTATATGTAAGCCATGAGCAAGAATTCATCTGAACTGAATTTGGGAGGATTAATGAAAGAAGGCTACTTTATTATGGGTGCTGGGTATGAGAATTTCTCCTAGTGACAGCAAACCTACCAGAATTGATTAGATATCTTAAGTAATTTTTTTAACGAATTTACTGAGACATAATTGATGTGTAATAAGCTGTACATAAAGTGCTCAATTTGATGAATTTTGAAATATGTACACACCTCTGAAACTCCCATTACAATCAAGATACCCACCCCCAATTTTCCCCTACTTTTTCTTATCCCAATTTTACCCTCAGAAACTAATGATATGCTTTTTTTTCCATTACAGACTAGTTGTTATTTTATAAAATTTTTATAAATGGAATCATACAGCATGTACTCACTTAAATTTAGCATATTTTGAGATTCATGTTATAATTACATAGTTCAATTGCTAACACTACTGTAGGGATATACTACTATCATTTATTCACCTGCTGATAGAACATTTTGGTTGGTTTTAAATTTTGGTTTTGTGGAGATACGTGCTTTCATTTCTCTTGAACATCTTAGAAATCTAAAAACTTAGAAATATTCTAGGGTCTCCAAACTTCTGACCAATTCTACTGCCTTGTTATTTTTCTAAATAATATGCATCAATTTTATAGCAAGCCTAAATATGGTGTATATTGTCTTAAAAGTTTTTGTTTTTGTCTTATTTTGTTTTTTGAGACAGGGTTTCACTATGTTGCTGAGATTAACCTTAAACCTGTGATCCTCCTGCTCAGCCTTGTGAGTAATTAGATCTATAGACATAGAGTACCACACCTGTCTTTTCAAGGTTTTTTTTTTGTGTGTGTGGTGGGCGGGGAGTGAGTGAGATGTTGGGGATCAAACCCCAAGCTATATCTCCGACTCTTAAAAGTCTTTTTTACTCTATGGGAAATTATATTGTTATTTCAAATGACAGGAGGAAACAGAAGGGCCAATGGTTTACTTTGGTTTTGGATCCATAAAAGTCCAATATATG